CTCTGTCGCTCTATAGTAAATTTAATGTATAAAAATAACAACCAATCAAATGTAAACACACTCGTTTAATAGTCATGCAATAAGCCATCACGTGAAAGTTGAAGTTTAATTAGAGAAAAATTCATAAAATCATCTCTAGTGCCATTCAACATATGGGTTTATGTATATATTTGCAATGTCATAAGCCAGGTACACATTTAAGCTCACAAGCATATATATGTCATTGCTAATCTTTATGAATTCCGAAAACATTTTGAAAACTACTAATTAATGATTTTCTTTTTACACTATTTTCTTTTTTTTATTAATTGATTTAATGAAGCGATGATTTATATAAAAAATGAATCAATTAAAAAATTAATTTACATTTAATTCTCTTGTTATTATCAATTGTCTATATGCATTTAGTAACCCTCTATCAAGCTTATATGTGCATTTAGTCATCTGCTATGCATTCCATTGCAAATTTAAGAACACAATCGATTTGGAACATCTGTTAATGCTGTTCTAAAATTCATTTACGGTCGTTTGTCGTCAGCATAGATGAAATTTCTAACCAAAAACAAGTGGCTTCTTACGCTTATTCTATCCGCCCACTTTTTACAGTATCAGAACATTGCCATTGCTATGCCATTGGCATCTCGATAGAAGCATCATCGCCGTATTTATCATCTTTATTTGCTGGATCATTATTTAGCATTGATAGGTTATCGATTTGCTTATTTAAAACAAAATAGTTTAAATTATTTTGTATTTTTCAGTTTATTAGAATTTGCGTTTTTGTGCTCTCCAAGCCACAGATTAAAGGATTGCTAAGAAACAAATAATAGGCCACTTTGTACCGGCCACCATTTTTTTACGTGCCATTTTGATTACATTGCCAGCAAGCAAAATTTCGACATGATCGAACATTTGCAAGTCCTCGAATTATCGAATGGAATTTCCACTAATAATTATTGGGCATGATGAGCCATTTACAACATATTCAATGAAGCTGGACAATCAGGTTGAGGCTAATTTAAATATATATTATGTGATTAAACAAGATGTCCTAATGTACTAATACTTATATTCACTCCGTTCGGTATTAACATAACAATATGGGGCCTCTCTGTCCATTTGTTCGTATGATGTCTGTCCATGTAAGTTTTTGGCCAAGCGAAGACCATCTTGTACATGCGCGAAGATACAGGAGAATTATTCGACATTTACATTAAATTACAGTAATATGTACATCAAACAGTCATAAGAAGTATTGAAAATATAGAAAGTAAAAGTGAAATAAATGAATGAAGCAAGTCGGTGGTAAATTTTGTCTTGAGGAAAATAGGGATATAGTTAATTTTACTGCAAATGTTAAATGATTTGGATGGCATCGGTGTCTCCTAAGGGTGAAATATGTACATCGTTCAGTTCCAAACGTAAAGCGTCGACATCGTCAAACAATTTTTGTTGAGCCTTCTGATATTTTTTAACCGTTTCTTCTAGGAGCTGAATACGTACTTCTTGTTTTTGTATCACTTGAAGCAGCTGCGTTCTGTTCAATCCCTCATAATTACTATTAGCTCCATCGCGAAAGTCTCCAACCGATCCTTCGTTATTTTTAGGTGATTGCATTTGCGATGATTGCTGCTTCACGCCAGCTGTCGACCCATTTTTATTCTCTTCTTTGTTGTCGTTAAATTTCGGCGTTTCTCTTAAATCATGATCATGGTGTTCTGACCAATCAGAGTCTATAATTTCTTCAGACATTAAAACTTCCACGTCGGAGTCTGTGCCTGAATAAGTAGGTCTACGTTTGCCATAGTATTCAGAATTGATTAACATCAAGATTTCGCTCGACTCTTCACATTTGCATGTTCGTCTGGATCTTGCAGGTTTCTGAACAATTGTGAATTCTTCTGCTTTTTCTAGAATATCAATAGATCTCAAAAATACTTCATCGTTATCAGGTTCGCCGTCAACATATTCGTCGTCGCCGCCAGGTAAATGGTCAGGATTCTCTTGTCCACAGTGTGCTTCTTCCAAGACGCAAATATCAGTATTATTTGTACTAGCAGAGCTCAAAATGCTCTCTTGCAACAATCCACTAATGGTATTAGAGGGAGTAACAACAATTTCTATACTTTCCGAGCCATTATTCGTATTTGGTGAATTATCGCGACTTGGACATGCAGTCTTATGAGTTGGCGAAAAATTCAATTGTAACTCCGACTCATTCATGATGGCGCATTGAGAAGTTCATCGGCGTTATATATATAAAGCCCTTGATTCAATTGTCCAAATAGCAATATCTATTTGTTCACATAACTTTAAATGAATATAACATCGCAATTTTACTTTTTCGGCTTTTCTATGCTTTAAGCACAACAATTTAGTTTTCGGATTAATAAATTGATGTGATAAATACCGTGAGAAGTTACCACATTACTTTATAAGAAAATGTAAAAAGATCAACGTCAATAAAAACAGAGACAGATGGTTAAGAAACAGAACTGAAGAAATGAACGTAAGCATAATTCTCAAATAGCTGAAAAACAGCGATAAGAAAATTTGTGTGAAAACGAATTAATAATTGTTCAACGAAATAATGAAAGAAAAAAAGTGATTAAAAGGGGAAGCACGGATGTGATCTTCACTAACGCAGTGAAACAGAGCAAACGAATTGCTTAAATGTTTTGATTTGATAAATATATTTAAAATTGGAAATAATCCGCCTTTGTTGTTTTAAAATACTAGGGAGTATAATTGAAAATTTTAAATCTTATAACACAAAACAGATTTAAATTGGTAAATTGGTAAAAAACAGATTGTCTTTATTTCTTCTTGCCCGTTTTGCACATTTTGCTTTATTTTTGAGTCCTATGGAAAACCATATGATTTGCAAACTCCTACAAACTCGCGTAAAAAGTCGGCAAAGTTTAGATCCCGTTTCTAAAACAGGAATAGCGTATAACTGTGTGTGAACCCTTCCTTTTGGATGCGTTGTACTTTATAAACAAGGACTTTAGAGAAGTAAATCGTTTAATATGATAAAGAAAGCATATACGATATAGACAGCTGTTAAAGATTTGTCATTAATGAGGTTTATATGTAAAGTGGAAGTTTTCAAGTGTAACTGAAAGAATAAGAAATAAACTGCAACAATACACCGGAAATGAGCTACACTCAATAAAGCGCGTGTGTTAGAATGAACACTATAATGTCCTCTTATACTTAAATTTTGAAAATAAATAAATCTTCAAGCTAATAAATCATCCTGAAAGCATATGAAGGCCCTGGTAAATAAGTTTGCCAAGTTTTGATCCAATTTTAATATAAGTCTCTTTGCCGGAGGGGATTAAATCTACTTTCACACTCCATCCGCTTCAACAAACTACGAATACGTACCAAAGCTTTTATTAAGTATGTCAATTTTTGAAAGAATGAGTACAAACGAAGACGTAGGAAGCAAATAAGTTAATTTGTGGAAGAACAATGTAGGAAATTGCCATTTTTCGGGTTTAAAAATTTTGGATCCGCCTGAGTGGCCGAGTAGGCAAGAGTCTCGACTAGTAACACAATAGTCGTGGGTTCAAACCTCAAGTGCGGTAGAATTTTTAATAAAAGCCGATAGCCCTAGATGCTAGTGCTTTAAGACTTTAGTCTTAGAATTTATTCTCTGGCTAAATTTATAATAATAATAATAATAATAATAATAATAAAAATTTTGGTGATTCTTCTGTGTCTTCTTTACAATTTAGCTAGGCGTAACGGGATTACACATGATTGCCGTAAGGAAAAACTACTTGCGCCAACGTCAACGAGGATGATAGTATTCAGTTATTTTCTGCCCACATGAATGGAAAGATAATTCATTTATGAGATTGTACGAGGCAGCCAAGGAAGAAAGTTAAATTTATGAATAATTCACCAAGTTCCCCTCTAAGAAAACCTTGAAAAAATGACGGTAACTCATTTTCTTCTACATACACCTAAATTTTATTGTTTCACTGTGTAGGGAAATTAACGAATTCTAATAAACCTAATATCAAACAAAATCTATAAATACATCAAATCCCTTAAAGCATTCACCTGCTTTGATCAGCAGGAAACTGATAAGTCTCGCGTTAAAATTTTGGATATAATTTCAGAACTTTTACATTAACAATTGCAATATCAGTCTTAACAAAAGTTGCTAATTATTAATAGGCATTTCTTAGACAAGCAGTTAGATTTGCTTAAACAAGTAAAAATTATATTCGGTTCCGGCCGAATTTTTTATACAAATCATCGTTATCCTAGAAATGATTGGAACAAGGGAAAAGTAAACTTGCATACTCCTTAATTTTGGGGAAACGTGTATCTGTTGTAATTAATGAGGAACAAGCAAAAGACACGGAAAGCGACGACGTTGTCAATTTTAACTGTATAGACATGTGAATGTTGTAGGCGTGTTCTTTGATCTGTTTAGGCATTTTTCAGGCTCTTTTGCAAAATTGTAAGTGCGACATCTCATTCTTTATGAACGGGAGAACCTGTGTCGCAGAAACGATACAGTTGGGTAAGTGGGCATGCTTAGGTGCATTTCAAATTTGTACTCTTGACTAGTATGAGGTTTTTGAAGCTTGGATTTGCGGGTTATAAAGATATTAAAAAACCTCAATTTTGATCTAATATTTTTCCCATTTTTGTACAAGCACTACAGCATTGCCAATAGAATAATTTTTTCAAATCTTTGCAGAGTTATTTACTGTTATTTATTTTATGAGGAATAAGAGAAGAGCAGTTTTTTATTCCTCCTGAAAAACAGAAGTGTTCTCAGGTTACGCATTACCACAGGCGTTTCCTTTGACCGGTTTTGTCCATTCTCCAATCTTTTTGCAAATTGATGTCAAAAGCGTCAATTTTTGCGGACAGAAACATGTTTACAACAGACTATACGCAGACAGACATACTTAAATGGATTTGGAATTTGATGCTGATCATGAATATATATATTTTGTGGCGTCCCTGAAGCTTCCTTGCGGGCGTTGCAAACGTGTTGACAAAATAAATACATCCCTCATCCTTCGGTGATGGGTATAAAAATTGCATCAAGTTCCATGATTACACAGCCAATTTAGGTTTGTGACACTCGGCCCTTTTTTTACGCCTGGCTTTTATTAGATGATTACAATACACTCTCAGAAAGATAGCTAAGAATACAATTACAACACCAAGTATGCCCAAAGTTGTTACTGTGTGATGATAAATAAAGCAAGACAGCAATATGGCAGCCGCCTAAAAAAGTAGATATAAAAACGTATAATAGATTTAATCTTTAGAAGAAAAAATAATGCGTGAAATGAAATTAACCTGCTTTTTTCTACTCTGATATCGTACAAAAATTAAAAATTTGGGAGATGGGATTGCCGTTTCAAAATTAAGCAATATTTTCACATTCTGTCATTTTTTTAATGAAAAGACGAATGAGAAAATATTCGCTTTAAGCTGAATTTTAATTAAATTGAGTGAGAATTTTAATCTCGTTAAGAATATGACTATTTTATGGAATTTCGGGTTGTAACCAACGAGTAGAAAATCTAGTCTATTCCGATACTTCTGCCACTTCGGTGGAGGGTATAAAATGTAAACAATTATTTAAACAATATTTGCAGTAATGCCAATTAACTTACCTGTCGTAGGGTCATAATTATGGTAAAGACAACTGGCCCAAACACCGAGATCGTATAGAATATAAACAATTGGCCAACTGCTGAACTAATTGACAGTATAATTATATCAAAAATGAATTTCGGATGCTAAAGAAAAGATATTATTACAAAGACTTGCGAAGAATTTTAATATTCACCTCTGATGCAAATGCCAAAGAGTCCATAAAACCCCCTTGAACGCTTAAAGATGCAGCGGTAAATATTGTAGAAAAAATATTAACGCCGCACATCATTTGCAGAGATGTCATGCCGTAACATTTAAACAGGTCACTCTGCCAATTGGCTGTAAAACTATCGAAGACGAGGTACATAGCTAAAAGAAATACACCAGTTAAAGTCGTTACTCCGCTAGCTTTGGTGCCATCAGCTGACCCAGTCATAAAAAAGATCATGCCTAATGATATTAGGATGGCAGTGAAATATTCATAGAACTCATACTTAGTTTTCGACAAAATTTTACCCATTAGCATGACAGGTATGATTTTACATGATTTAGCTAAAACTTGGGTGGGAAAATTAACAAATTTCAAAGCCTCATATTGAAACCAAGCGCTCATGATATTTGAAAACGAAGCGAAAGAATATTTGTATAAAGGAGCTTTGTGTCGTTTGGCAGTCGATCCACATTGCAACCAACCGAGAGCTACCAAAAAAGCTAATATGCGATTACAAAATACCAAAAATTGTGAATCCTTAAAATGTGTTTTTTCACCAGAAGAAAAACTGTAATATTTTTGAGTCATGATCTTCTCTTGCAAAACACCCCATGTCAAATATGACACCATCAAACCGCCGAAACACCATACTAATAAAAATACCTCGTTCGGGTTAGAACGTTTAGGTTTACTTGCCAACAAAGGAAAAGACGATGGCAGAGTCGTTAGTTTCGCCGACGCTGGTGCAGTTTGATTGTTGGATTTAACTTGCAAAGTATCGTTAGGTTCCAAATCGTTTCCTTTGATGCACATACGAACCGCGACGTGGAAAAGGGATTTATCTGTAAATATTATCCATCGCGCTATTTAACTTCTGTAAATATGTTATAAGTACCACAAGAGGCTTACCGCAAACTTCTAAATAATTTGTGCGCTGCACATATTTATAAACTAAGTAACCAGGTACAAATATGCAACTATAACCGAAACAGTTGACCAGCAATTTCAGAAACCAAGAGTACTCTTTGGCTTGGGATTCTACTAATTGCGATAACGTCTGATGTGTATGAAAGGCACCCAAAGCGCCCTTTAATATGTCAGACAAAAAATGAATAATTAATAGGGCAGTAATAAAAAATCCACTAGAAATGATAAAAATTCGTATCACCTTCCTGTTAAAATATGGATTATGCAAATTGCTTACCAAATTATAATTATAATTATAACATTTGGTAGAAGATTCGCCATAACCAAGTGGATTTCACTTTGTGGATCGATCGCGATCGATTGTTGCATGTACTTCAAATTAAAGTTAATTATTCCAGAGAATTGTTTGCTTTATATATCACTTATTTACATATTTCGTTGTCTTTTTTATTGCTGTAGTAATCTCGCTAATTTCCCGGATTTAAAATATAATTTATACATCTTCAGATTAAAACCGGACACTTGGAAGCTTTTTATTCATTTTTGACTAGCAAGTCCTTTTTTACGTTACTTAACTTAGCTATTTAATGTATTAATTTAGATTTATGAATTGTTCGTTCTTTTACGCTCTCTTTTCAGCATTATGTTACTATTTTCTTTAAACAGCTGTTATAGATATGTCGTCACGATGCACAGATGCTGTGTGCTAAATTAATTAAATTAAAATGAGTACTCACTATAGCTACGACCAACCAAGTCGCGTTTCTTATCTACTTGGTTACTCGGACAGATTCGATAAAGTTAACCTAAGAACGAGAGAGAAAGTAATGCACTAAACAGTTCGATATATAACTTATGTCTGCTTGAATTTGGTATGACATTCGAAAAGATTAATCACTTTTTTTTATAAAAGCTAGTGTTTGTTACTTTTTGCAAGTTAACAAAAATTATTATTATAATATTTGTAAGCAGCAATCAGCAATATTTAATATCAGGATATTATTTTAAAATCCAGTGAAGTTTGAAATGTCGATGGTTTCGTTTCACTTGCTAAACATGAGTGTTTTGCTCTTTGGTCCAAGTATAAGCAGCGATTGTCTATCCGCATACATGCATTAGTGAAATGTAAGCAAATATAATGTCTCATATCTTGATGCACGATGCAAATGCATGCATTATATCCACCTTTGTTAAGTGCGTGACGGTAGCCACATAAGCTTCATTATTTTCACATCTCTTGTCTGTAGACTGTTGATTTGCTAAAATAAACAATTATATACCCTGTTCGGCAAAGTATGTAGAAAAGTGTAGTAAGAAAGGATGCATATCTATACATAATTAAATATTTGTGCGATAACAGTGCATTTAGTTCAGTTTTTTAAGTTGTGTGAAAGTAAAAGAAAGTCCCTATGAAAGTAAAAAGAAGTCTCTCTGTCAGTCAATTTGTCTGTCTGTCAGTCAGTCGGTCTGTCTGCAAGTCAGTCAGTCTGCCAGTCAGTCTATCTATCGGTCGGTCGGTCAGTCAGTCAGTCTGTCAGTCAGTAAAATCTTTGGGAACTTAGTTATATCGTCAAAAATAAATATTAAGTGCCACTTTTGCATTAACTGTTAATGTTTTTATTTGATATTCAACTGCTGCAATAATGAGCGCCAATATACTGGACAGTTTTGGTTTCCAAATTTGGCCGATAAATTTGTTTTATGGGTTCAAGAAATTACTCTATGCCAAGTACGTAGCAAAACGGACGGATAGGCAGAGCCAGTGAAACGTAAATTTTCGTTCTCCATTATTGAATTCACGGTAATTTGTTTATATTGAAAGAAATACGATTCGAAAACATTACTGTTGGATGTTGATGGAATTATTTGCTTGTAAGTTTGGTGGAAACATGTTACTATAAGCTTGCCTGCCTCTCTATTTTCAATCCTTGTTCTCTGTTGTTTTTAGCTCCACGCCAACAACGAATGTGATTAAGTTTAGCTTGGAATGAATTAGATACAAATGTCTAGCAATCGGACACGATCGGTATCGGTCCGATTCTTGCATTATTACAATTTGGAACATAGAGCATGGTTTACCTAAAGAGAGTGGTGAGATTAACTTTTCCTTTAACAACCGTTTTGTTGAAACTATGCTAGTGTACTAAAACTTTAGGTCCAAACTTTTTTGATGTTTCTGAGTCGCCCATTCCTTACGCTGGGATAAAAACCATCGCGTATTGATTGCGAACATGAATCAGAAACAAATTAAACTTTTTGATTTAAGACGTAAATCATTTGGTATTCCTCCTAGTACCTCCCTATCAATTATTTGTTGCACGCTTTTAGAAAACATTGCCACTTGCCAGTCAATATAAACTGAGACTGTATACGGTTTAGCGGTGGCACTAAATGGTTACTTGTGTAGCTTTTTCGAGTCAATAATAATGTTATGGGATTTGCGTGCAATAGATAGATAGATAGACCGCTTAAACAAATCCAATCGGCGAAAAGCCATTTACAGTTGAGTTGGTATCACGCAAGATCTAGCTTATTGACGTAATTGCAGTGAGAATCGCCTTATATTACATTATATGATATACGTTGTGTGGATATGGAGGATAGTCGTGAAATTTATAGCGTTAAAAAACAATTGCTACCATTTCACATCAAATATCATGGGTTATACATTGACTGCACTTTCATGGCATAACACAGACTTTGAGCGCGCCCTCCTACTGTCAGACACTGGCAACGACTGACTTCCGTTTGCCTATAAGCATACTAACTGCATCCACTAACCATAAAAAATTACTATTGCTTTTGCAACGATCTCTTCCCAATGTTTCTTAGAATACGCCAGCGAATGGTAGTGGAGAGTTTGCCGCAGTACGCACTACTATTAATTCACATGTAATTGACAGCAATCTATTAACGGAGGATTTAGTAAAGGTCACTCGTGAACGAGCGCTGAGCGATTATGGTTTGAAAACAGACGACAAGCGTTGAAGTGCAGTTTAGCTAATTTATATCGCATGGAGGAAAAACTTACGAGATTGAAGATCATTTTGGGTATTGGCATTACCCATACATCCGAAGCGTATGTGAACCCTTCTCGTATTGAATCGCATGTCCTCTAATGGCTAGATTTCTTAAATAATTCGAATAGTTTAATATGTTATAGGTATATATCGAATAGCAAGTTTTTAAAGTTCACTCACAGTAAGCAAAATCCTTAGAAGTGAACAACGCGACAAAGCCTTAAAATTGTGCGTTTGGGCATTTCAGAAAGATTTGGAGCGCTTCATTAGCAATTTATGGGAAATTAAAGTAAAATCGACCATTGTATTGTAATAGGCACAGATACTGTAGTATAAAAAAATTATATAAAAAAAAGAGAAAAGCAGTTTTTTGTCAAAAAAAAAAAAAATTTGAGTTTTCCTGGGGAATAGAAAAAGGAAGATTTGGACAAAATAGCCGGAAAATTCCAATATTGATGGAGACCTATTAATTTTATGATTTGTAAATCTGGAAAAAAAAGAAAAAACCAAGAGATATATAAAACAAAAAAAAAAACTTAAAATCTTTAAAATTAAATCAGCTTGGGATTCTGGAGCCTTTCAGCAAAATTCGAGACATTCTTAAAGGACAAAAAAATAACTAATGAAAAAAATTTATCATTATTAGCAAATTATCATTAAGGAAAACTTAATTCTTCAAATGGGTTTTCATATAAAAAACTAAATGCAACAAAACGAGTTATTACTTCAAAAAAAATCTTACATAATTTTCAGGATACGTTACGGGTTCTGCTGTCATTGTTCGGATATCCTTAGCTTTGTTTGGATCGGCCTTTCATCGTGTCTGATTGAAATTAGTATACGACAATTGTGTTTTCTTATATTTTTTATTATTAATCAAAGAAAAAAAAATTAAAATGTATAATCTGTAAATATCATATAGCTGCGGTGATTCAATGTGGGTGTTTGATTTGGTAAGTTTTCTTTTGGTTTGTTAAATTGAATTACTCTAAATTTTCCGTTAATTGTGAATAACTTTTTTTGTTTTAAAATTTGAGTATCCTTTGTTAAGAGTTGTTAATTAAAAAAAAAAAAAATAATATTTAAATCCTATAAATTGGAAATTACTTTCCTTTTTTAAAATTTTAAATTAATATAATTATTTCTAGCTTAAATAATTCGTTTTGTTATTTTTTATTTTTGGAAAATTAGAATAAAGAATGTTTTATTATTAAAAATACTAAATAACAGGTGAGACTTCCTAGAGATGACTGAAGGGTAAGGGATAAACAGTATTGATAGGGCATAATAATGAATTTTTCCGAAAAATTTTCAAATTAAATGTAAGCATGTTTTTTTTTATATAATGGACCATTTGCAGGGTGAAAAAAATAAATTATCATGAAACTATTTACAGCCAGGCCGGAAAACATGCGATAGGATCATGATATATACATAAAATTTACAGCTTTGCAAAGTATTAATATTAAGTACGTTACAGTATAATGGTCAGAAACATATATAAGCGGATTGTGTATATTTTGCAAGAATACAGCCGAGCTGAGATGATTTATGTTTTCCATTTGAAAATTTTAGGAGCTCACTATTACCTTATCAAGTTTCAATGCTGATTGCAGCGTTGCTATATGGCATAAGCAACTGCCCTCAAAATTATAGCAATAAAAAATCGAATATTCCTGGCAAATTCTGAGATAAGGTCAAGCTTAATAGGAGAATGTCCGTTGCCGAACCAGTAATATACCCAATAGCAGAGCAGGCGTTCCTTTTGTTACAAATGCCAAGACTGTAAATATGAAGTTGCAATTAAATGGGCAGAAATGTTTGTGAATGCACTTAGGATCAGAAAATATAAAGTAGAACTGTTTCCATAACACACCATGGCGTGCCTAAGATGTTTTGCTGGCATCCATCTTAGCTTTTTAAGCAAATTACGTTTATTTGCTTTTATTAGTTTTGGTCATTTTCACTTTGTTTTTGTTTTATAATTTTTAGTTTGCAATTATTATTATTAAACTTACTGTTTATTGTTGTATTTAAATTTTTTTAACGTTCATGAAAATGGAAAAATTCGTCGTTTACGTCGTCAATGTCCTGGTGGGGATTGCTGTGCTGCTGTGTTCATGGCCGCGCATGAAGACCGGCATTTTTGCGGAAAATGCAACTTTCGTGTTCACGCAACCAGAAGATGAATAAATAAATTGTTATTGGAAATAACGAATCTTTCAATAAAGTAAAACGAAAAAATTCGATTTCTTTTGTCCAACTTTCTTTTAGCTTCTCACCCTTGAAGGATAACGGCATGATTTTGCTAGCCTCTTCGTAAGATCCAAAAATGTAGATAAGACGTTTAATAAGACACTTGTAATGCTTCACACATCATACCCGATTAACTCTGCTTTGTGTGTTCTGTACCTGTAGCAATATATATTTATTTATTTATCTTTGGATCGCTTTGTTAATCAGCGCTTTCGCTATACTTTCATTATGATTGATTAGGAGTATGAAGTGGTCTCTGATATGAATTATTTACTGTATTGTTGAAACTTGTTTTGAA